TTATAATAGGCAGTGTCCATTCTGATAAATCTATTACTAACAATAACTGAGAATATAAAATCAATATCGACCACTTGCACGCATGCACATGACAACATCTTTAACCAATACACTCACTAAAGAAGGTGGGATCAATCTGTACTAGCTAGAAGCAAACCTACTTTAGCTTTTCCCCACACAAAAAGGACGACAACTGTCAACACAAAGCGACCGCATTTCAGAGAAAAAATAACAATCATAAACACTTACAGAATACAATTCCAAAATAGTATGTTTACTTTTTATTATTGGTACTATCTGGCTTATACCATCACTACGCTTCATCGCCCATGTCAGCAGCGTTGTAATATATGATCGCTTTCCTCAGCTGGCCGTAGGAGTTTCCTCACTCATTATAGGAGTCCATATACGAACTACGGTAGAAATGTACAGGAACCAACAAGCATTTTGCAAAATTTCCTCAGAAATTCCATATTGTCACCAACATATGTGGTCCACCATGTGCATATTTTCCCACACTGCATGTCAGACATTCCATTCTCAGCAGCATACCCGACCAAGGGAAGTGACTCGGGTTCGAATCCCACAGGCTGCATATTTATAATGGAGTTACGCAACAGCTACTACGTCTCCAATACAGTGGGCCTATAACCTAGGAACTGTTCCTTGAGACGCTTCTTCCTTATGCTTCTTACTTAAGAAGTGCTTCCTTATAACTTTTCATTTCTAAGGGGCGTAAGAAATTCCTACTTTTAAGGTGCAATATAACTATATAAGAGGGGCTTATATTCGAAATTTTAGCTTGAAAATCGCTCTGTAGAAAAAGTTACCTCTGCACACGTATTGTCGGTCTCTAGATAGCGCGTACTGTACGCCTTTGAGGAGCATAAGTGTCACTGAAGTGAGAATATCTTGCTATCTTACCATTATTTAAGTAGCACGTATAGCTATGTGACGCAAGAGTTAAGTTTTCATATAAGGATATTAACTACAACTACCCTTGTGTATGAGTACTAGTGGGATGGAACCAACCAACCAAACACATTCTACCGGGATCGACGACACAGAGTCGGCGGATAGAAGCAGTGGACGACTGGCAGGTCGACAACCTATACCTCCCTTAGAAAATCCAGAGCGGCTACTTCGACAAGGCACGAATTCTTTCTTATCCCCTCTGGCTGGTGGTAGAACTTTGGATGATAATACAAGACCGAATGATTTACACCAAGTTCGTGCGGAGATCGGTGACCTTCTGCGAGAACTAACTGAAGTTCGAGCAGAGCTAAATAGAGTGAGGCTACAAAATAGTGGAACGATGACATCTACAGTACCATCCAACAGAGACCCTGGGAGAGTTTCTGAAATATCCGTTAAGACTACATTTGATATATTCCATCTACCCGTGATTGGACCATGGGATCCGAATGATCAAAAGAGTATATCATATGAATACTTCAAGGAACAGTTATTGGCACAAGTGCAACTCTACGGTATGCGTGGTGTTTCTGGTATTCACTATATGTTGAGGTGTGTATCTGGTAAGCTGAGAGATGACATACGTCGATGGCATCTAGAAGGTGTATCGAATATTAATGAAGTCTTGGAAAGATTTGATGAGAGATTTAGCTCAAAATGGCACCAACAGCAAAGATGGTTCCGTTGGGAATCGAAAGAGCTGGATCAGCAAAGAGGGGAGCAAGTCTCAGCGTATGTGACTAGGATCCAGACTGAGGTCCGATCTTTGCAAGCTATGCCTGGAGAAAGTGTGAGTAATATGGAATTACGAAGTCGTATCATACGTGGTCTCCAACCATCTATTAAAAAATCTGTAGAGGATTACATTGGTCCTAAGGTGGTCTCTCTGGATGAGACAATATCTATTGCTAAGTTCTACGGTGATAAAGAACAACGAGATACATCATCATCACTAACAACATCAACTACAAGTTCTAGTCATGCTAAGGGTGGGAAGGAAATGTCTAAAGGTTATGATAAGTCCCGAGAATCGAGGCCACTATGCAAGTTCTTTGTTCGAGGATATTGCAACAAAGGCTCGACTTGTCGATTTTTACATCATCAACGACCCCCACAACGACAGTCTACCCAG